CTCCTGTTATTACAATGGGTCTCCAGTCAGCCAAGATCAGTTCTCCTGGAGAAAATGGCTGGTTTGGAGGATCAATTCTACAGCATTAGGTGAGGTCTCTTCCCTCCCCAAGCCCCTGCCTCCCCAGGCTCTGCTGGCCTCCCAAAAATCTCCAGGTATTTCCCAACCCAAAGCTGGCAACCTTAATCCTACTGAGAAGAAAGGGTGCTGAGAACTTTGACACCAACACGTTCCTCAGGTGAACTTACCATGACTGAACTCCTTCACTTACATGTGATGTGGCTTACTGGTTGGATTGCCTCCGTGTTTCCTCTTGGAGTTCAAAGGACAGACAAAAGGGGAAATGTCTTTATTCTTCAAATAATCACATGGTAGGATTCACTGCCAGTGGAGGTCATGATGGCCACAAGCACAGACAGACTAGACAGATTCAAGGCAAATTAGGGTTGCCAGGACCTTTCCTCGTCAATGGCAGGGGACTTTGAAGGGCGTTCCGGAGGCAGAGGGGATGTCCCCAATATGATGATGTCACACAGAAGTGATATCATCACTTTGGGGACCAGCGACCCACACTCCTGAACACACTTCTGTGCATCCCCCCCCTTCTTACAAAAAGCTTTTAAAGAGACCCTTTACATGTTTTTTGCAAGATGCGGGCCACATGCTCCCGCCGATCAGCTGGAGGATCCTTTAAATCTTGCAGAGGGGGAGGGAGAGGGGTGGCTGCCAGTGGTCACTGTTGGGGCAGCTGGCTAGCAGCAGGCAGGAGCCCGTGAAATTGGGGGATCCCCTGTCCCCACTTGGGGACTGGCATTGCTATGGCAAATGGACCCATCAGTAACCAATAGCCATGATGATTAAATGGAATCTCCACATCCAGAGGCAATAAAGTCCCAAATACTGGTGCTAGGAGGCAGCATTGGGGAAGGCCTTGGTCTCTATGCCCTGTCAGTTGGTCCTTCAGGGCCAATGGTAAGCAACGGTGTGAAATGGGATGGACCACTGGTCTGATCCCACAGGCCTGTCTTATGTTCTTATGCATTGAAGAAGAAGACTTTTCTCTACCTTAAGGAGTCTCAAAGTGGCTTCCAGTTGCCTTCCCCTCTCCCCACAACAGTCACCTTGTGAGGTAGGTGGGGCTGAGAGAGTCCTGAGAGAACTGTGACTGGCCCAGCGTCACCCAACAGGCTTCATGTGGAGCAGTGGGGAATCAAACTCGGTTCTCCAGATTAGAGTCCGCCACTCTTAACCACTTCATCATGCTGGCTCTCTTGAACAAAGCACCACGACAAGCAGTTCTGCGTCTGTGTAGTAGCTTCTTGTGCTACAGGGTCAGTTGTGTTTTGGTAATAAATAACAAAAATCTTGTAGCTGAATTTGGTTAGTCTGCAAGCTATTGAAGAAAAGGCACATATCCTTCAGAGTCATGTTATGTTCCTCTCAAATTAGGCTTTTCTTACTCATTTTCTAGCACTGCTGCCTATGGAATAGGAGTTCTTAAATCTGAATTATGAAACCTACTCATTGCTCCAAGGCTCAAAATGGGTGGGATTTGGTTTCCCATTACCAAAACCCTTTAAAAAGCTATCCCTTAAATGTCCTAGGAGTTTGCATTTGTTTCCAAATGGATGATCCCCCCGCCCAGTTCCATCCATTACATTTGATAGTGTAATAGAAATGAACTGGAATAACAATGAATGAACAAACACCATTCATTTTGATGTTTTCATTCATTTCCCTGGTCTCTGGAAGTCTGGTTTAAATAATAAAAGTTGCTCAGACGGAAGAGGTCAAGAGGAGAGAATAATAAAGTATGAGAAGATATGAAACTGACATCAAACCTTTCCAGTCATCAGCATCAAATACATCCTGCAGCAGATGAGAACTCTACCAAACATATCAGTCTTCTTTCCTCTGTGTTTCCAATTCTACTTGTTAAGTGTGACTTGGGGAGGACAAGCAACAATGCCTCGTCCCATGTACCCTCTTTTCCTCAGCTAAGTGCTCAAGGCCAAATTTTGGGGAGATTACTGTTGCTTTGCTATCAACCAAGTGAGTGAATTCCATTTTCCTTAGAGGTTAGTTGAAGTCTTTCTGTGTTTCTGTCCATGTGTGAGTGCATGAGTGTTGCTAATGCTGATCGGAGTACATACACACTAATACATTCTGTTTCTCTGTGTGTTGCCAATTGAAGTGTGCACACACTTCCTTATTCAGAAAACATTTCCATGAAGCCTGCAGTCACCCCTCACTCAAGTGATTTTATTAGAGTGTCTGCTTGGGCTGGATATGAGCCCAGTGCAGGTGTGGTGGGCCCTTAGTTGGTGATGGTGCTTTACAATTAGTCTTGTCTGTCTGTTTCCTCCTCTTCCTCATTCCCTCTCCAGGTCCATCCCACTCAACTTCCAGATACTTATCAGAAATCTCTAGGGATGAGTTCTGACCAAAATATTTTATATGAAAGAGCTGGATCACAAATGCAGGTCCTCGGTGATGCTGAATGTGTTGTATTGACTAGACACTCATCCACCCACCTATGACAGCTGTCACTTTCCCCACTTCCCTGAACAGTGAGAAATTGTAGGGCAGCCTTTTACTTAATCAGTGAGGATGGACTATTTGAGACCTAGGGTGTTTCTTAGGGCCATTTCCAAGTTTTTCTCATGTCTCCCTGGGTCTTGCCCTTCTGAATTACCCAGCCTTGTTTCCAAAGTTGAATCAATGCTTGGGGGGGTCAACAGTGGGAGGGCCTCTAATGTCCTGGCCCCACTGGTGGACCTCCTGATGGCACTGGTATTTCTGGCCACTGTGTGACACAGAGTGTTGGACTGGATGGGCCTTTGGCCTGATCCAACATTGGCGTCTCTTATGTTCTTATGTAATGTATTAGGAATGCATTATTCATGGGAACTGTAGAGAGGAGATGGTCACAGGCCTGTAGTTACAGTGGGGCAAGGCTGGGGCAATGCCCCCTAAATTAAGAGCCACTCCCCACAAGTCAGGCTGTGTAGAGCAGTATTTTTTATACTCCTCAGTGAGGAGGGAGTCACAATGTGAGAAATGCCAGAGAGGAGCCTGCCTTGATGGCCACGAGGCAGGATCTCCCTTGCCCTCTCCCCCTCTATCCCTGCCCTCCTGCTCACCCACCCCCACCCCCGGATTTCCCAGTGCCCCACCAACCAAAATCTCCTGGCTACGCCCCCTGTATGGTCTCCTGATGACTGGGAAGCTCTCGCTATCTGAAGCCCATCAGAGTTCAGCGACATTCTCTAGCTTGTGGTAGGAGATAAAGAAACTGCATGGAGCTAGTTTGAGTGTTTTTGATTTAGAGGAGAGGGCAGAGAAAGGAGCAAAGGGGGCTGAGAGTGACGCATCTTGCAGTCCAGGGTTTCTCTCTGGGGATCTGATGTGGAACAGGGGATCTGCTGTTTTCTGGGTAGGCCTGTTTCTGTCCCCTCACTCTGTCCCTCAATCTTGGTCAACACAAATTGTTACAGACCTCCCTAAGCCTTGACCACGCTCTCGGTTTCTCACCACTTAAGGAAATGGGATGAAAATAACTATAGCATGAAAGATAGCGAACTATTTCCTCCTGACTGTGGTCCAAAAGGAAGTTGGCATCATGGAAGGACATGGTGATGATGTACTACCCATGACCAATGTTCCCTCTAAGCTGTGGAGTCTTGTGAGCAAACATTTTACTTTGTGAGCTGCTGGCATTAAAGTTGTGAGTGAGCGATTTGGCTGCTGCATAAACTAGTTTGCTCTGGAGCCATCCTTCCTGAGCTAAGACAAAAATGTGTGAGCTGGAGGCTAAAAAACTGTGAGCTAGCTCACACTAACTCAGCTTAGAGGGAACATTACCCATGACCCATAGAGGACCCCCCACTGACCAGAGGCTCTTGATTCTGTGACGGACAGGAGGCTGTCCTGCCCCTGAGGGGGAAAACAGCCACCCACCTGAGCCTATGGGAGCACTGCTCCAACATCCAATCACCTTTGGAGGGTGGGGTGGAATGTTGGCGGGAAAACGCATCAGGCGTACAGTTCAGTTCTGCTTCCGGAGAGAGCAGTGAGGGCCCAGGTCTGGCTCAGGAAAAGAGCAGACTGAATGAAGGGCAGCTCTACCTAGTAGTGTGGCAGAGAGGTCTGGCTCTACCTCTGAGAGAGAATAGAGTACCCAACTGCTAGGCCTGTCCCTGGTAATGAGCAGAACTTGTACCATTTAGTCTGGCTCCTGGCCAAGGACAGGCTGGTGTGGGTGGAATCCTGTGCACGAGAGAGGATCCCGCCTAGTGGCTAGTCAGTAAAAGCCTGTTTATACCTGAAGGCATTAGAGAAAATTCAAGCTACTCTTTGAAACCAGCTTGTAAATAAACAACTCTTCTGTGTTGTTAACATGCAATTCCCGCCTCAGTGATCTCCGTATTCTATTTGCTCACCACAACTTTACCTCATGGCGATGAACCCTAAGCCTATACAATTGCTACCTTTAGAACACCTGGAAACTGAGGGGAAGGTTTATGGTTTCAAACAAACCTCGTTCCCCCAAATCATCGGAGGCTGTGTGAGTCCCCTCCTATCAGCAATGGAAGATCACCCTAGAAGCCACCTTAGAGGGGCAATCTCCCATTTCATGCTGGGAGAGGTGCCTGGGAGGGGGTGGCATTGACAAAGTCAGAAGGAACAAGGAAGAGCCACATTCCACTTCCACCTCTAGAAGGGCATGAGTGTGAGTTTATATTTGTGCATTAGCACAATGGGGTGACATGCTGGGGGGAAGGCACTGAACGGTATCTTGCTCAGAACCCTGAGCCAGCCATGGTGCAAAACAGATCCAACTTAGGTATTTAATCAGAGTTGCAGGCCATGTTGTTAAGAGTATAAGGAGAACATGGGCAGGATGCACCCGGAGGAAAAGGAGTCTCTTACCAAGGCTCTGACAATTCAAGGTCACAATACTGTACTTTTCAGGGACTCTTTTCTCTTGCCTTAAGCAGATGACTATCTCAGCACCCCCTCTCTATGTGTGGTGGAAGAGGCATTTCCAGGACTTGGTGCTGATGATGCTCTCCGCTCAGACTTCTGTGGGACGTGTGCTGGTGAGTAGCATGATGTGCAGGTTTTTGTTCATTTTTCTTCATTAAGATGACTTACATCCCACTTTTCTAATAAACTTTGGTCAAAGCAGTGGGAAAAAAGTACATTTTAATAATTTCAAACAAAAGTGTATCAATTAGTTTATAAACGAGACAGGGCATTCAGCAAAGGGTGTCAACAGATAACATTCTTCCACTGCTGCAGTGTTAACTGAATGCTGTAACTAAACAACTGAACACACCAAAAAATGACAAAATTAAGAAACTGGTCAAAGATCAGGGTGGGGGAAGCTACTTGCCTGGACTAAATGTCAATAAGTGGGCTATCAGGAAACTGGAGTTCACAGGGAAGGATGTTCCAAAGACATGATACAAGAACTCTGGGATCATGGGTCAGTGACAGGACATCTGCTTTGCATGCAGTAGATCCCAAATTCAACCCCTGACTTCTCCAGTTTCAAAGGGATCTTGTGAAAGACCCGAGATCCCAGTAAGTTGTTGCCAGAGTAGATAATACTGACCTCGATAGGCCAGTGTTCTAGCTCAGTAAGGGCAACATCATGTGTTTGTGCTTTGCTTGATCAACAAGGCCCAAGCATGCGTCCAACCCAATCCAATACATCTAATGAATTCTGAAAGACCAAATTTATTTCTGAAATGCCATTTTGTGGTAATAGGCTTGCATCTCAGGCTAGTTCTCTTGGATCTCTGGGTCCCCTAAAAGGGTTCCTTCTCTCCCCCCCCTCACATGTTTGTCCCTTGCTAGTCACCATCTACATCCACAGAAGGACCCTCTGAAGAGACTCTCCATGGACAGGTTCATGGGAATAGAGAGGCACTGGAATTTGGCATATGAGAAAAGATGCAAAAGGAAAGAAACCCAAAAGTTAGCTTTGGCAGATCTGAAGATGAAAGGAACCATGCTTATTAAATTTGCAGATGATACTAAATTGGGAGGGGTCGCAAATATGATAGAAGACAGAGTCAGGATACAGGATGATCTTGAGAGGCTGGAAAACTGGGCTAAAACAAATAAAATTAATTTCAATGGGGATAAATGCAAGGTTCTGCATTTAGGTAGAAAACATCAAATGCATAATTATAGGATGGGGGAGATGTCTTGGCAGTACTATGTGTGAAATGGATCTAGGGGTCTTAGTAGATCATACACTGAACGTGAGTCAGCTGTGTGATGAAGTAGCTAAAAAGGCAAATGTGATTTTGGGCTGTATCAACAGAAGTATAGTGTCCAAATCACAGGAAGTGATGGTATTGTTTTACTCTGGTTAGACCTCACCTAGAATATTGTGTTCATTTTGGGGCACTACAGTTTAAGAAGGATATAGACAAGCTGGAAGAGTAATGAAGATGGTGAAGGGTCTGGAGACCCAGTCCTATGAGGAACGGTTGAAGGAGCTGGGTATATTTAGTCTAGAGAGGAGATGACTGAGAGGTGATATGATAAGTACTTGAAGGGCTGGAATATAGAGGATGATGTGGAGTTGTTTTCTGTTGCTCCAGAAGAGGCTAGACCAGAACCAATGGGTTGAAATTAAATCAAAAGAGTTTTCAGCTAAACATTAGGAAGACTTCCCTGACAGTGGTTCCTCAGTGGAACAGGCTTCCTTGGGAGGTGGTGGGCTCTCCTTCTTTGGAGGTTTTCAAACAGAGGCTAGATGGCCATCTGACAGCAATGAGGATTCTGTGAATTTAGGCAGATCTTGAGAGGGAGAGCAGGAAGGGCTGCATCAATGCTTAGTTTTCATGGCCCTTTCTTACACACCCAAGGAAATGCTGATTGCCACTTTGGGATCAGGGAGCAATTTTTCTCTAGGCCAGTTTGGCTGGGGATCCTGAAGGTTTTTTTTGTCATCTTCTAGGCATGGAACAGGGGTCACTCGGGGGTGGGGGGAGGTATTTGTGAATTTCCTGCATTGTGCAGGGGGTTGGACTAGATGACCCTGGAGGTCCCTTCCAACTCTATGCTTCTATGCTTCTTGTTCAGAGGTAAATCCTGGGTCTACCTCTTGCTAAGTTTCTCCCAATATCTTGATTATATCCTTACCCTTAGTCACTGAATGGCTGAACGATATCTTAGGTCAGCTCATCTACACACTAGTGTCCTGATTCCATGGTCTGACCAGCAAGGGCCTGGGCACATGATTGAATCACCACATGGAAGCCACTTCTGATTTGTAGTTCATTGGGAGATGCTGTTCCTGCAGCTTGCCCTTTTTAGTTTTCCCCTCTGGTGGTGGAAAGTGCCATCAAGTTGCAACTGACCTATGGCAACCCTGTAGGGCTTTCAGTGGCAAAAGATGAACAGAGGTGGTTTGTCACTGCCTGACTCTGTGTAGCAAGCTTGGACTTTTGTAGGTGGTCTCTGATCCAAGTACCAACCAGGGCTGATACTGCTTAGCTTCTCAGATCTAATGGTGCTAGCCTGGGCCATCTTACAAATGCCCAAATGGACTGCGATGGCTTGAAGAAAATCTCTTTAATTGTGCAGAACTACTGCTCTAAGGAAGGTCAGCATGCACAATAGAAAGCTGCTTCAATTCAAGCCACCTTATTGTGGAAACCAAAATGCATAGCCCTTCCCTTCATTTTGAGGGAACTTCTAAGGCAATAGTAAATGAGCATTGTATATAGTGACACAAAAGCAAAGGTTTCAAACCCAAGAGCCGGTAGGAGTATTTGATACCAATTGTCACTGTGGATTTCCATTTTAGGTAATACTGGTTTTCCTGTTTAGTATTGGATCGCTCATCATTTATTTCATCAACTGTTACAGGTAATTAAACATAGACATTTCTCCCCAAAGTTTTGTTCATTTGCTCCTTCCCTTACTGTTTTGCTTGCTTTTAAAATCCAGTTCATGAAACTTGGCCCGTGTCATTTATCAAATGACAATAAATATAGTTGATTACTATGGAGTTCAATGATGGAGATTGTTTTGAAAATTTTGATGGAAAAGAAGGCCAGCCATCTGTGTATTTCAACTAACATACTTTCAGAATTTCAAAAATCCAAGTCATTGTATTACAATTGTTAGTATTCCATATTCAAAACTCTTGTGAATGAGGCTCTGACTAGATGATATAAGCATCCAGGGGCTATTTCTCTTTGCGTGTGGCATATTAGTTCATTTACAACACTTACTACATACATTTTCCAACTTAGGAATTCAATGCAACAACTCTGTGATTGTTTCCCATGATTTTAAGCTCGTTGCTATTTGAATGTTTAAGAACATAAGAATAGCCCTGCTGGACCAGACCTGTGGTCCATTTAGTCCAGTGTCCTGTCTCACACAGTGGCCAACCAGTTCTTCTGGAGGTCCAAAAATAGAGCATAGAGGCCAAGGCCTTCCCCTGATGTTGCCTCCTGGCACTGAGATTCAGAAGTTGGTTTTCTCTGAATGTGGAAGCTCCATTTAGTCACCATGGCTAGTAGTCACTGATAGACTGATATCTGAATTAGACTTCTTGGGGAGGAAGCTTTCAGGATCAGTTAGCCATAAAATTCCAGTTCCAAACTGTCTGAAAAAATGGGGACTGTCTAGCCATCTGTGTCTATGGTTCTCCATTCCAAGTACTGACTTTTACAACTTTCTTTAGCAAGCTTGCAGTGGCTTATGGGGAAAGAACTCCAAGGAAAGTTTTCTTTTTATTAAGAAAATCTTTTATAATGCAGAATGACTTGGATCTGGAACAACATTTCCATGGGCACCAGGATTTCCACTCATGGAGTATAATTTTCACACTTCCCCTTTCCCGTAACAGGATTTCAGTGGGCATCTTGGGATGCCATGGGCAAGGATGTCACATTCCACAGGCAGTAATTCTTGCGCCTGCAGAAACACAATTCTGCATCCAAGCCAATGAAGATAACATGCAATAATCAACACTCGTGCCTAGTACACTGCCAAACATCGTGTCATCAAGCAGGCATGTGTATCATTCTAGCCTTAGTCTTAACGGTAGACACATTAAGTAAGCAATTGGTGCATCTGTGTGATGCATATTGTTGAAGCTTATCACAGAAGTTTACTTCCCTCCTGAAAAAAATCAGGATAGAGAGCTATTTTTTCCCCAAAAGAAACTATTGGATATTGCTTGGTTGAAAATAGTAACATTATTTTTAAAACCACCAATCAAAATTACTTTGGCAATTTCATTCTGTCATGCTGCACTTGTCAACAGCATCAGGGGGGAAATGTGGAAACTGTCAAGGGTGTCAAATGAAATTTGAAATTCAACTTGCCAATGTGGTGGGAGCATGGTTTTGCTCAAACACTGCCAGCATTGAATCATCTGATTAGGGCAGGAGAGATATCAAATAAATAAATAACAAAATGCCTTGCATTAATTTTGCACCAGTATGAGCTGAGACCTTTTCAATGCATAAAATGCTTTAATTCTTGAGAGGATGGCTGGTGAAAAGTACCAAGAAGTAGGCCAGGTGAAGCACAGAATATACTGCCATACTATACATATTGATATTTTGCCCTACCATGTTATGAATCCCCATTAGGGCTGCTTCCAGTGTTCACAGCTTTGGAAAAAGTGCAGAAAAGGGCAACTCGAATGATAAAGGGGTTGGAACACTTTCCCTATGAGGAAAGGTTAAGGTGCTTAGGGCTCTTTAGCTTGGAGAAACGACGACTGAGGGGTGACATGATTGAGGTTTATAAGATTATGCATGGGAAAGAGCAGATAGAGAAAGAGGTACTTTTCTCCCTTTCTCACAATACAAGAACTCGTGGGCACTCCATGAAATTGCTGAGCGGTCGGGTTAGAATGGATAAGAGGAAGTACTTCTTCACCCAAAGAGTGATTAACACTTGGAATTCACTGCCACAGGAAGTGGTGGCGGCTACAAGCATGGACGGCTTCAAAAGAGAATTAGATAAGCATATGGAGCAGAGGTCCATCAGTGGCTATTAGCCACAAGGTATAGATAGGGACTCTGGGGCAAGTGATGCTCTGTCATCTTGGTGCTTGGGGGGGGTCAACAGTGGGAGGGCTTCTAATGTCCTGGCCCCACTGGGGGACCTCCTGATGGCACTGGGATTTCTGGCCACTGTGTGATACAGAGTGTTGGACTGGATGGGCCTGTGGCCTGATCCAACATTGGCATCTCTTATGTTCTTATGTTCTTATGTTCACAGTACCCATATTTCTTCCAAATGGAGTTCCAAATTACCTGGTCTTGTTTTTGAAATGTAACGTATGCACTAGGAATTCTCATTCCCCCCCCCTCTTTAAAATTCTTGCATTTTCTTCCTTCTTGACTTTTTTCTCCCTTCTCTACATTATCGATTTACATGTTTATACTTGGCATTTCGAGACCCTAGTGCCGCGTGAAACAAAATCCTGGATCCTGTCTCTGGCCCCAGCTCCTGCCAAACCTAGCAGTTCAAAAGCAAGAAATTGCAAGTAGATAAACAGGTACTGCTTTGGTGGGAAGGTAACAGCATTCTGTGTACCTCAGCATTTAGTCATGCTGGCCACATGACCACAAAGAGGTCTTCAGACAGCGCTGGCTCTTCGGCTTGGAAATGGAGATGAGTACTCCCCCCTAGAGTCGGATTTGACTGGCTTTCGAGCAAGGGAAATCTTTACCTTTACCTTTTACTGATACGACATTACAATGAAGTAATCACACATACGATTGTATTGAGATGGTTTTGGTGTGATGTTGTACGACTGTTCAGAAACACTGCCTAAAACATTAAGGCACATCAAAAGTATATTTTCTGTAATATATTGCCTAGAGATAGATATGAACCTAACTATGAACTGAAACTCATCATCAATCGGGCATGGCTTGTGGTTCGCGAACCTCAGTTCATGTCATCCTGCCCTCACAAGCCCCCACAAACCTCCCAGGTGGGTTCATATGGTTTGTGTTGGCAGACATGCTGGCGCCAGCAGTGGAGCTTGGAGAAGTCATTTAAATGCCTTCTCCAAGCCGTGCTGCTCTTGCAAAAACCATTTAAAGGGATACATTTAAGTGGTTTTTGCAAGCTGCACTGCTGCCACAGTGGTGCAACTCAGAAGGGAACTGAGAAGGCATTTAAATTTCATTTCAGCAATCCTTTTCACTACCCCCTGCTTTCAAGTGGGGGGAGCAAAATGGATCGCTGTAATGGCTTGCATCTATTTCAGCCTAACAGGGTACATTCCTTTATAATGGGTTTTGACAGAGGGCACTGCACAGGAGTGGAGTTCAAGTGGTGAATTCACCCGAAAGTGGTGAATTCACTGCTTTGACTCATCTCCCGTGTGGCTCCCGCTTGCAAAACCCATTTAAAGGGAACATTCCCTTTAAATTGGTTTTGAAAGATCTTCCCCTCCCCCTTCCATTCTGCTGGCCTCGGGGAGCTACCCCCAGCAGAAGGGGGGGCTAGATCCATGACCTCCATGAACCTGAACTGGTTCATGAAGCGGGGGAGGTTCATCCCAGTTTGTGATTTGTAGTATCTCACAAACCATGGATGAACCTCCATCTTCCCAGTTCATGCCCATCCCTAGTATTGTTGGTGTGCATATACCATTCAAGAATATTAAGGGGTCAAGAGACAGAGACACAGATGAATTAACTGGATGCTGCAGCAAACAGCACATTTTCCTGTTCAGTTTAAAAATTCTCCTAGTTAAAACTTAAGCTTCCCATTTTGCTGTCTCATTTGACATATATAAACACTGGAACGTTTTTCACATTGTATTTTTTAAGTAGAAAAAATGAAAACCGTTTCAGCATAGAATTTTGACAATATTCGATGCAACCAAATTGAAATGACATACCGTGCTCATTTCAGACACTGCACAATACCAAGGTTTTGTTGGACTACACTTACTGTGATTGTTTGAATGCAGACCACTCCAATATAGTTAGTGAGAGTCCGTCAAACTGGGATCTTAACAACAACAACAACGTGTTGTCCAACTGCAATGAAGTTATGGTGACCCCAGAATCATGGGGTTTTCAAGGCACAGGTGGTTTGTCATTGTCTTTCTTTGCGTAGCAACCCCCTGTCTTCCTTGGCAGTCTCCCATCCAGGTTCTAGTTTTGGCCAGCCTTGCTTCCAAGCTCTGGAAGATCAGGCTAGGTTGGGCTAAACCAAAATCTGATGTTGACTATTAATCACAGCTAATGTTAACTGTGGTTTCATGTGATGTCTCTGGGCAAGCATCTTGTTTAACCCTTGCTTGTTCTTTATTAGCAGTCTCCCCAGCTGCAAATTGAAGGAAATGGAACTAGTATTTGTCAAGACAAACCAGTTTTCAGTGATTACCTGCCAGTCTGAGCATGTTTTCACAAACCAACCATCATTAAAAACAAACCATAGTTTTGTGTCATGTCTGAACTGAGCGACAGTACCATTTTTAAATAAAAAAATATATACATCACTTATTTTAAAAATGCAGCCTGGTGATTTTATTATTTATTTGGAAGCTTTATATCCCACCTTCCAGTCCAGTCAGGGCCACAAAGGCAGATAACAACCCAAAACAGAATAGAACACTACATTTTAGTGTAGTGGTTAAGTGCGCGGACTCTAATCTGGGAGAACCGGGTTTGATTCCCCACTCCTCCACTTGCACCTGCTGAATGACCTTGGGCAAGCCATAGTTCTGGCACAGCTGTTCTTGAAAAAGAGCAGTTTCTGTCAGAGCTCTCTCAGCCCCACCGACCCCACAGGGTGTCTGTTGTGGGGAGGGGAAGGGAAAGGAGTTTGTAAGCCACTCTGAGACTTCTTTGGGTAGCAAAGGGCAGGGTATAAATCCAATCTCCTCCTCCTCCTCCTCCTCCTCCTCCTCCTCCTCCTC